GCATTGTTGTAGGTGTGGGCTGATCGCACACAAGGGGTTGGTACGCTGGTGCATTTTGCTGGTAAGTGTTGCGTCCTGACCGCAACGCATCAGCATACGACAGGGCTTGTTGCACAATTCAAGAGGGTACGAACTGCGAGTTGACGCGCCGTGCAAGTTGCTGTTGCGACGTGCCGGGGGGCAACATTGATGGCATTCAAGCGCTGCTGGAATGCTTTGCATCTTTTATTATAAGCAGTATGGATCCCATTACAGTTTGAGCTTCGCAGGTGAGCCACCGTTTTGGCCTACCATTGCTCCGAGTTCGTCCAGTTGGGCTGAACGCATCTACCACACATGGGTTGTTTGAGACAGTAGTTTTTGGTGTGGTCGAACTCGAAGCAGCGGAAACACTGCCTTATGCTGTTACTCTTCCTCGGGAGCTCAATGGTGACCAGTTGACGGCTAGCCCTGTTGAGTCTTAGCCCTGTTGTTCACATCCTGCTTAAGATCAACAAACCGGAAGTTGCGACTCGGCGAGTCGTTGGTGAAGTCTGCGCTGGCTTCACTTGTAGGCTGTCTGGCGCCCGGGTTGTATAAGTTAGTCACAGTGTGGCCGTGCGACGTGAAGGCAGCTTCGATCAGGCTTCTGGGAGTAGAAGCGGCTACATTTTTAACCACAACGCGGTATGGTCTGTCTTTCTTTAAGGAGAAGTGAGTAAATTGCACTCTCACTTCAGTGAGTTTGCGGACAATTGCTCTGTTAGTGTCGGCATCTTTGGCGTATATTCTAAGATAGCCAGAGGGAGAGACCTTGAATTCATAGGAGTCTGGCCCACTGACTGATCAATACTGGCGAGCATGTCGTTGTAATACCGGTAAAAGTCTTCCGGTGGACTGCTTCCATCGAGGCGATTGACATTAGTGGCCATGTTCGAAGGAGAGGTTGTTGAGGTGTTCGGTAGCCGGTAGATTGGCGAATGAGTTTCTTCGCCATTCGGAGGTCGGTTGTTCGTGGCCATTGTTCTTTATTTTGTTATTTGCGAAAGCTCTCTTGCGAAAGCTTTGCTGCACTCGAGCACACACTCACGTACTTGAGTTGCGATCAGCTGAGCGCAGCTTAAGTTTTGCAAAAACTAGTTCACTCGCACCGCACGCGGTAATTTTTCGTTAAACAATTGTTAATTTTCATAACACTCCGGCTGCCAGAGGCAGCACTTGCGTATAGTTTACCCACTATAAGCGGGATTTGTATGGATTACCCTGGGACGGGCTATATTCAGTGTCACTGTCACTTTCTATGTTTATGGCTGCTGCCAACGGTGCACTAACGCGCACACACACACAAGTCTGCAATTTTCACGTCCGATCTCCAAAGAAACACAAACGTGAGTTGTGAGGAAAAACAAAAAACAAAAATATATGAATAGTGCCACATATAAATGCTTGCGTCCTGGTAGTTTCGAATAAGACATGTATTTGTGCATGTTATATTTCGGAATGGATTTGACACTAACGTTTATTATCAATGCACCATGTGTTAACATTCCTTAAGTCTAACATATAAATATTCCTAAGATATTCAGTTTTTATACCCTGATCCCATTCAAAATGGGTATAAGGGTATATTGAATTTGTGCAAAATTGCAAAATTGTTTCCGATAATCGATAACTTACTCCGTTTCCAAGCAATCGATCAAAATCGATATCGACATCCTGTTTTTTGGTTAATAACCCAACTTTTATTGCCAACCAATTTAAGACAAAATTTCTTTGCAAATGACTTTTTCAGTGTACACAAATATTCTATGATACAACAAGATATACTGTAGATTTCATAAAGATCGGTTAAAAAAAAAACAAAGTTATATGCAACTGCCCAATTGAATAGATCAGCATCTTTAAGAATTTCTGTATACGTGTACACACATTCATGCGCGTCTGCTTCGCATTTTAACGGCATGGTTATTGCGACTCTTTTCTGTAATGATATAAGTTCCTTTTTTTATTATACGTCCTTAATTCAATGTCTGATTTTAAAATGTTATACCTTTTTAAATGCGTACGGATCCCTACCATCAATTGGCATCCAAGCAAATTAAACATCGTTTTGTTAAAAAAAAAAGTTGTGGACAAAAAACCGATTCGTTCGTAAAGTCAACCTTTTTGATGATTTTTTGGAATATTTCCGTCAAATAATGTCCGATTTTTATACCAGAATTTTTGACCAGTTTTGACTCGTAAGGATCAGTTGTATCGATTGGCATCAAAAAAGGGAAATCCAAAATTTTGACCAAAATCGACAAAATGGCAAATCGAAAGTTTTCCGATGAATTTTTTAATATCTCGGGTAAATAATCTCTGATTTTAAAATGTTATATCTTTTTGAATGCGTACGGATCCCTACCATCAATTGGCATTTAAACAAAATAATCATCGATGGGTTGAAAAATGTTGTTGACAAAAAACCGATTCGTACGTAAATTCATTCTTTTTGATGATTTTTGAAATATTTCCGGCAAATAATTTCCGATTTTGCAATTTCATACCATTGTTGACTCGTAAAGATCAGTTCTAACGATTGGCATCAAAAAAAGGAAATCCAAAATTTTGACCCAAATCGACAAAATGGCTTTTTTTCAAAATAGGGGTCGGTGCGAAAATCGAAAATTTTTCGATGATTATACCCTGAACTCATTAAAAATGGGTATAAGGGTATATTGTATTTGTGCAAAATCCAAATGTATGTAACAGGCAGAAGGAAGCATCTCCGACCCCATAAAGTTTATATATTCTTGATCAGGATCAATAGCTGAGTCGATCTAGCCATGTCCGTTTCCGTCCGTCCGTCCGTCCGTATGTATGAACGCAAGGATTTCAGAACATATAAGAGCTATGACTTGAAATTTTAGATGTAGCTGCTCCTAGTTCCCGCGCAGATCGAGTTTATTTCCGATAGTCGATAAACTACTCCGTTTCCAAGCAATCGATATAAATCGATATCGATATCCTGTTTTTTTGGGCAATTTTGGTAAATAATAAGAGCTAGAGTCCCCAAACTTGACATATAGCTTCTAATATAGAATATATATATGCATTTGATGTTAGAAGAAGAGGGTTCAGGGTATCCCCTAGTCGGAAGCTCCAGACTAGAACCTCTTACTTGTTAATAAAGTTGTAATACATGTTTGACGAACGAAGGAAATTTATTGATGATGTAAAATTGCTGCTTACATTGGGAACATTAAACATCTATCATGACCATAAATAACAGGCATTTAAAATGTTGCAAAAAAACAGCAAATATATGAATTTTGAAAATATATTAGGGACATTTGCAGCTGTAACCAAAAGCAACAACGTTTATTGGAAATCCTGGTTGACCTCGAAAATAGTGAGGAATAGCAAGAGTTTTAAACTTACTTTAAATTCAATAAGCACATGCCACGAACTGTTTGGATGTTTGTAAGTTCTCATTAAATGATGTCAACCGACGAACTATTAACACAAGTAAGTATTCTGGTTAAAGGACGTACCCGAAAATAGTTAATAGATTTTTAATATTTCGTGTGGACGAGTCTTCTTTTTATTGCTTGCAATCGCTTTCATATGCTCGAAAACAATATATAAATTTATATATATGTAGATATTATTTATTTTTAAAGAAATGTCTCGTGTGAAGAAGTCTCCTTTTTAATGCTTGCATTCGCTTTTATATGATTGATTGGTATGATTGGTATTCCTTGGTATTAATTGCTCTAGTAGATAACCGGTAACGAATTCATCTAGCTTAACATTGGTTTGATGGAATGACTTACGATATATTATATGTAATTATAACGTTTCAAAAGCCAGACGCAAAGATTTCGACGCATAAGGCAAGGACTTGAATGCTACCAAAAAAAAAAAAATAGTCGCCATAATAAAGAAATAAAACGGCAGCATCATAGCAACGACAATTGGGAAATCGCTTTTAACGAGGTGCGTGAGAAGCCACACCGAAGTCATACTTCTAGTGATAGTAATCATAGTGGATAGTAATCATTATCGGGTCAATTTCAATATTCTCTTTTATGTCCCTAATTTAATTCGCATATCAAAAAAATAATTAAACACTATGCTTATGACTCACTCTGGTTATCCACCGTGACTCCAACATGGTTCTTGAACAAGCCCAAAATAGGGACATTTTGTGAATAAACTCCAATAGGTAAATATCTTTAATTTTTTTTTTCTGTTTTTGTAAAATAAATCCAAAATGAATTTATTTCCGCGATATTATCTACATCTATAGATGGCAATTATTTCCGCGCACCTCGTCAGCGCCTTGAAGTGTTCTTTTTGCCTTCTAATTAGTTTTTTATATTATATAAACAGAGAATTATATTTACTGTCTTACTTGCGCACTTGTCATACAATTTAAGTAAACTTTGTTATATGTTTTGTATATTGACACTCGTAAAGAATAGCCATTTTTGTAAATATGTCATGAAAACTATCGGGTAATTAATGTATGAAACACTATGGGATAGGAATATCTCTCAGATTGGTTTAACAACATGTATAAATGATGGCACGGCAAAACCTTAGCCACAATGACAGAAAATTGTATATATTTTAATATACGCTCTGTGCTAATTAATTTTAAAGGAAACACTCGAATGAACTTGCTAGTTATAGAAACGTGACTACTCATCAACATATCTATACGGTACAGATCGAGTATCAATAAAATTGGAATTTATTGTTCCGTTTCCAGAGTTTAAGAATCCTTGTTAATATCACAGTCTGGCATATTCGATCCGAATATTCAAAGCAACTCTTACAGAGAATATCCACTGGCAATATATCTAACTTCCGTCTTTTGGGTTTTGGTCGGCTTCTAAGGTGGGTGGGATACGGATAGTTCTTAAATAGAATTGCCTACGTTGTAATACGATCACTTTACATTTTGATAATTTAATTGTTTTTCTGTTTTTCAGGTATGTGCAACTAACGGGTATTTATTAAATTACAATTACAATTTGAACTGATGATATTTTCCATGCACCACTCTTATGCCTGTGTTGAGCAATGTGCAGATTATGGATATGCTGACGCATTAGTAGCTATAAATTACAGTATTTAACTATATTATGTATTATATCTTAATAGCCTCTTGTTTTACTTTTATGTTTAGCTAACTTAAAAAGTTATTTTAAAAGACCAATGATGTGACACGTTATGTCAAGAAATAACATTTCATTTGTTACTAGGTCTATCAATCGTTGGATATGGGTGCCTACCGGTATATGCAGGAGCTGTACAGGAAGAAGCAAAGTGATGTTATGCGCTATTTGCTTCGCATCCGTGTTTGGCAGTATCGTCAATTGACAAAATTGCATCGTTCACCCAGACCTACTCGTCCCGATAAGGCACGTCGTTTAGGATACCGTGCCAAGCAAGGCTTTGTTATTTATAGAATTCGAGTCCGCCGTGGTGGTCGTAAGCGCCCAGTACCAAAAGGATGTACATATGGAAAGCCTAAAAGTCATGGTGTAAACCAACTAAAACCATATCGTGGATTGCAGTCTATTGCTGAAGTAAGATATGAAGTATTTGTTAGATGTTCACTTGTTTTGTGATGATAGTTACATAATTCCTGAAAGATAATGAATACTAACTTCCTTAGATGTCTGAACCTCGTCAAATCAAATTTCTTAAGTTTTATATTACAAAATATTTATTTAAATTTTTGTGTTTCAGGAGCGTGTCGGTCGGAGACTTGGTGGCTTGCGCGTACTAAATTCTTACTGGGTAGCTCAGGACGCTTCCTACAAATACTTTGAAGTTATTTTAGTAGATATTCATCATAATGCAATTTGTCGTGACCCCAAAGTAAATTGGATTTGTAAGCATGTGCATAAGCACCGCGAACTTCGTGGGTTGACCTCTGCTGGCAAAAGCTCGCGAGGAATCGGAAAAGGATATAGATATTCGCAAACTATTGGTGGATCTAGACGTGCCGCCTGGAAACGGAAAAATCGCGAACATATGCATCGAAAGCGTTAAAAAGGAATTTGTTTCAGCGAAAACATTACAAATACATGCTAAAAACTGCGCATATAACTTCGTTGTGTTGTAGTTTTAGTAATTGGCTAAAACTCAAATTATGAATTAAGGGGGGTGGTGGTGGTTACATGTCGAACACATTCGGATAAGAAATTTTATACCCAGAGACCATAAATGGTCAAGTATGTTTTTGTGGAAGGGTGTGTAACATGCAGAAGGAAACATTCCCGATCCCATTTAGTTTATTCTATATTGAATATCGTCGGCTGGACTTTAAATTTATAACGTTTTGTTTTCAAGCAATCAAAGCGGTAATTCTCTATTCATGAAAAAAGAATGTCCAAATGAGTGAGGCGGTGTCTATTTCAGGTGTTCTATCTCCGGATACAATTTTCGGTATTTTATTTAATTTAAACAAAAACTGCCGGTAATATGGGGGCGGCGCGATCGTCGAGTGTCGTGCAGAATCTGCACAAATTTGATATAATAAAAAAATAAATAGTTTTAGAGCATTACAATATTAAATTTTAATGGTTTATATATTTAAAAAAAATCGGGCGCCTAAAAGCCAAGTAACAGTCGGAGTTATTAACTCTATCGATCGTCCCTAATGCAGATAATATACTAAACGATGAATTTAGACTAATTTTGGACTATCGTTAACTATTAGATAAGCGAATGAGAGCTGCTAACTATCGACGACGGGTCATCAAAGATATAAAATTCTCGATTTGGGAAATGTTATATTGAAATGCACGTCAAGTTAGCGGCGTTGACTTAGCGTCGAATTTTGGTACTTGTTATAGGGAAAAGTATCGGCTACTTTTAAATGCATTTATTTATGTTTTCAATTACAAAACCGAATATATTTAAGTACAAAATATATTTAATGCAAAATACAATATAAAATTACAACATATTAAATTATTTACTGTCAACATTCATTTGTTTATTAATTTCAATTTATATTTCCACCATTCTTTATATATCTTTATTTTGGGATAATGGCCCTTAAGACCGCATATACATGGTTAGAGCCTAAAGTTTCACCTAGCCAACTGTGAAAATTTGATTAAAATCGTCGGTACCATTTTTATGACAATTGGAAAAGAGTGCAGAAATTAATATTGCTGCCATATTAAAGTTAATATATAATATTTCCACCTAGCCTCTTTTTGTTGCATTAACATAGGATGTAATGAGAGAAAAAGAAAAATGAGAATTTATTAAAATCTGTACCGATGGCTTTAATAAAATAAATTGCAATATGATTGATAAATCGTGCTCTATATGCACAACTACCGTCATTGATGATGCTTTTCTTAATATATGTTGTTATATGAATTCCTTACGGCCCAATTACTTATGTGTGTACCAATGTGAAGAGTGTGCCTCGCTGTCACTCATTTCATTGCGCACTTGTGTCCATCTCTTTCGCGCTGCATAGCTTCCCACAAAACCCCGAGATCTACAAGCATACATATGTATGTATGCTTGTGTTGTGTGGATGTGCGCTCAAGTTCTTCACGGCGTTCCAGAGGTTTTTCTTCAATTGTATGGCTTTTGTTCCTGCGGTAGCAAAAGGCAAACACAATATTGAGAAGAATCTGATCTATATTTATTTAATAACAACTATGCATTGTATGGTTAGTGGATTTAGTCAACTCACACTTTTGAATCAAATTTAAAAAAATCAATTTTCCATTACCATTTCCGCCAGTCGACCCTTAGTATCTTCCCCTACTACAATAAATCCGACGTAGCTTATGTATATTTTTTAAAATGAGTTTGAAGTCAATTGGACGGTAAACAAAAAATATTGAGTATGTACAACTAGCCGCTCTTGTTCTTCGGATATTGCAATACTGTTGATATCATTTGGACATTAGTTATCAGGTAACTGACAGCGCTTTATCAAACGATACTTATAGGGAACAACTCTAAGTACCTTGCCGAATTCGGAGAATCTATCTTCCATGTGAGATTTTAGAGGCAACTTTGCTTGATTGCATTTCACGGGACTTTCATGGAAAGATTCGATAGAAGTTGGCCATTGAGATCATAGCAATGATAGCCGTTTTGGAGGAGAGAGAGATGCAAAAGTCCCGAGAAATTCTTGCCATCTTTGAAGGAGTTGGCTTGCCAAGGATTGGTCCCAGAACAGATCATGAAGCCAGCTCTCTTGTATGAATTTCTTAGCTTGGATCACGAGTGGAGCTAACCATCCCGGTGGATCGAACAGCTTGGCGATTTGGGTGGGATTACTTCACTTTGATCTCGGAAGGGGCGAAGAGGAACACATCGGTGTCTGATTTCCAGCGTATACCAACAGTCTTCGCAAGGCTAGCTTTTTCAATCTCCAAGGAATCGACTCGGAGTAGATGCTCTTTTGGAAGAAGAATGAGCACAGCCCTTACGTTGGAGTTCCTTTTGAGCAAAGGAAATACAGTAGTGCCCATAGCTGTGCGTAGCTCGTCGATGACTCAGACGTCACCATTTTTAGTGTGTGCCCCGGCAAGGTACATAAAATTAAAAAAGACGTCGCTTCCCAAAAAAAGTAACATAACTTCTTTGAATTGGCTTAGATATCTTGACTTAAGCCAGTCAGTTCTGTTCGGACTGGATGGAAAGGAAGCTTGATCAGATTGAATTGTCGTTCGGAGGTCTACGTCGCTTCCGTTCCTGAATCAATCACGTGTAACAAATGCGCAAATGGCAAATGTTAATAATAGCCGTAGTTTGGAGGAAAGGTTGTGAGTTTGTGGCAAAATTATTCTGCACAATAGAGGGTAAATAGATTGCGAGTGATCACTTCGTGACGTGGGAGCTGTTACAGCGGCGGTTGGAGGAGGGCTGCTACGATGCCGGAGTGTGTTGTGGCGACCATAACCCGTGAAACAAATTTGTTAACTCGGACAATTTTTTAATCTTTCTCTCTCGCGAAACAGTTCTGGCAGAGTTTTTGCTGTTTGATGTAGTTGGACCTACCTCCAACAGACATCTGCAGAAAACGGGTGCACAAGCGTACTGGATGGTTATTTTTTTGAGCCATGTTTGAGCTTTAAAGCTCACCTTGGCTTCATCTCTTAATCTTTTTTGTAGCAGGCTCTTTTCATGCCCTTTGTCGCCTCTAGACTGCGAAAGCTGAGCAACAACGGTTCTCAGAGGAGCGCACTAGAAGGCAATCCCAGTTCACAGTACTTATGCAGGAGTGCTCCAGACCTGTCAAGCAACCTTGGCTGGTGCTCTGTAGGTCTTTAATAGCAGCTCCTGATTCCTGCGAAACTAATGCAAGGTTAAAAAGTACGACAAGTTGGCTGTTAACTAACAGCCTCTTATTCTTAAAGCTGTCATTTAAGTCACTCCACGCTGATGCGAAAGCATAATTTGTTAGAGGAGACTTTGACACAATTGCCTTCGCCTCCCCGCCTGTGTTCGACTTGAGGTGAAATAGTTTTTCGACCTCAGTTAATAGTGGATTGGTTATAAAGACACCTGTAAAAAGGTATCGGAAACTAGGCCATTTAAAATATTTCCCATAAATGATTTTAATCTCCATGGGGGGAACACTACAAGCGCCTGTTGATAGGAGTCACCCAGCTGATCTATGCCTAGTCAGGATGGTAAACGAACCGAATACTCGCCAGTGGGCAGAAATTTAATATTGGCCTGAAAGTGTGCCTCACACTCGCGCTCCTCCCTGTTTGGTAAGGAGTCAGGCACGGTGCAACATTCCAGTTTCAAAACTCGACGGATTAATTCGGCAATCTGTGCATTCGCCTGGCCACGAGTGATGATTTTCCTGCATGTGAAGTGTCTCCAGTCGCGACCCAACCAAAGCGAGTCTTTTGCGGTATCGGTCCAGCAGCTAGTTTAATCTGGCCGCCGCAGAGCAGATCGAAAAACAGATTGGGCCCACTCAACATGTCTATTTGCTGAGATTTGAAGAATTCGGGATCAGCTAGTTGTAAGTTCGACGGAATGTTCCATGATGCAGGGTCAAGAGTGAAGATAGAGCATCGGTGATGAATGGTGCAATCAACGCCGGGATGCATGTGGAGTACTCCGACAGTCGAGATTTAACATCGATTTTTACATTGAACATCGATTTTTACATTGATGACGGCAGTGGACAATATCGTGTTTGAGATGCTGGTCGATGGGGAGTGGCGAAGATGAAGTTGCCGCCTAGATGGGATGAGGAATTAGTTTCGGTATCTTGAGGATTGTGTGTGCTAGAAGCAGCGATGTGACTGCTTCGGTTGCCAAGATGCAAATCTGTAAGTGCTGGAGCCGCAGACTTTCAGCTGAGGTCCCCTTTGCAGGCAATTTAGATACAGTCCAAGATCCTGGCTTCATGAAGGCGCACTTAGGGCGATAGATTTCCGAATTGTAAACATTTAGAAATGGAGTGGCCTGCGTTTTCACAAAATACAGATGCACTCGTTCCATTCTTAGTCATTACAAACGTTCTTCTAATAATGTTGTTCTGCCCCATTACGCAGCAAAGCGGGTAGATCGCCGTAGCGTGATTCGTATTTTCCAGCCTGCAACGCTTCTTATTGAAGACTGTAAGCCGCTCGCATGGTGGTATGACGTCTAACGGTACATAATCCTTCTAGCTACCTTGCGTACGGCTATCTAGTTTTTACAGCAGCGTGTGTACTCTAAAACAACCAGTGATCTGTTTCACACTGCCCATCGGTTTTCAAGCAAGTTGACCTTTTTGCGCAGTTGTGTCTTCGCACCCTTATCCACCTTTCTTAAACACAAAATTGCAGCGATGTGTGCCTGAAAAACAAGACGCTTGTTATGATTATCAAGCAGTTCAAAGACGGCAGCATAATTAGTATTTAACATTTCCAACGAATTGTATCCAGTGCTGTTTCTTTGAGGCATGACCGTAGATGCTGGAGTTTTTCAATTTTGATCATATACGGATCCTTATCAATGGCCGTGGTCAAAATGTTCGAGAAATCGGCCCATTATTTGTAGCCTCCACTAAACTTCCACAATTTAAGTTGCTATCGAGAGTGGTTTAAGACAACAATGAATGGAAAGTGGAACAATGTGTAACCTGCTTAGATTTCCGAGCTCGTGTTGAAATGACACCCAATGACTGAAGATCCTCTCCAATGCTGGACTGACTCACATCCAACAAATTATCATAGCTTGTTTCAAATTTCGCCTGCCAGTCAGATGCCATGCTTATGTTATCTTGCAGCTTATAGTCATCAACATTGCGAAGTCCCGAGGGATAAGGTTCAAGGGACAATCTATTGAGTCGATCACTTAAATTCTTAATCTTTATTTTAAGAACAGCCTGTGTTCCAACCGTCGCTTGATTAGCTGATGTCGCCTCACTATTTTCATTTGCAGTTGCACCTTCATTAAACATTGTGAATGAAGAGCACAACAAGGTTCACACAGCCGAACTACAAAACAGGGCTGCGCATAGTGTTTGTTTGAACAAGATAGCGTATAGCTAGCTATCGCGCAAGAGGGAGGAAACGATAACCACTAAGCGGAATGAAATTGTAATGACAATTAATTACCATTCGCTCATAAGCGCTACAGAGCGCACAAATATTATATTGTATATACATTTCCAGCGGTTATTTTAATTATGCTCAACTTCTTTACATATTGGTTTCATTAGCGCAACCAAGCCAATAAAGTTGGGCTTTCAAACTTTGGGACATTACCTGCGGTTCAAAACGTTCCAATTTAGATACAACTTTCCTTGGCAGGAGAATAGATTTATTTTTGAACTGTTTTCGGCCGACGCGATTTTATTTTGTTTCCTAGTTTTATTAACTTGCGAGTCCCAGCTAGTTTCACTTTAACCACTTAGGTTTATTTTATACGCAAAAATGATCTTTTTAAAGAATTCACTCGTACCTTGAAAAATTTGATGGTTTTATGCAATTATTTACCAAAAATTGGTGGATTTTAAATAAATCGAAAATTTTAGCATATAGTGCTGATCGAGTTTTGTATAATTCGACAACTGAACACTATCAACTTCTTTAGGCTAAATTAAGCATACCCCTTACGCATAATATAGTTTATATGCTTAACTTGCTTCGCCCTAAACCTAGCATACTATAACCTCCGACTTGTTTTTTGACACAACGTTGTCATCGTTATAATCCTTATCATACTCTAAGTGAATCTGTTCCTAATTTTTTTCATCTGTAATTCTTCATATTTTCACCAGATTGTATATCTTTTACCCTAGCCCCTGGCAGCCGCCAACACAATGTGGTTTATCATCATTATTACATTTTTGATTATTAATTTCAGGTTAATATCAATCTCATATATTTGGGATTGTCCAATTCTCCTTGTTGCCCTCTCGTTCATATTCTGGATTATCCACCACAGGAGTTCCCATTCGGCATTCATTTCACCATTTCACTCCTCGGGTTTGGTAGCATCAGGGTTAGAAATGTCCTTTGGCCTATCCCAATCCTCAAAGAAAATAAAATTCCAAGCTGATGACGAAATTATACCAAGATGGCAGATGTGATTGCAGAAGATGTGCTGACAGACCTACTAGTTCTACA